GCGGCGCTAGCTGGTGGCTGACTGAGCGGGAGGCGCCATGGCGGCGGACGGAGAGCGCTCTCCGCTGCTGTCCGAGGCCGGCGATGGCGGCGCTGGAGGCAACGGCTTAGCGGGCCCGGGCGGGAGCGCGACTGGGCCCGGTGGAGGCCTGACGCCCTCCGCACCTCCGTACGGAGCCGGTAAACATGCCCCGCCCCAGGGTAAGCCGGCGGTCGGAGGGTGCACCGGGGCCCAGGGGCGGATCGGGGCGGAGGGGGGCGGAGCCTGCTCCGGCGCCAGGTGCGGCTCCATGGCACCTGTCACCGGGCGAGGCATCCTTCCTCCGCGGCAATCCCTGCCGCCGGAGCCCGGCGCGGAAGGGGGTCCGAGGAAGACGCTCCGACCGACCGCCGTTCGCCAGAAGCACGTCGAGCTTTGTCAGCAGGGTTCCCCACCGCCGGGGGAAGCACCCGTGGCAAGTGCCCGAATGATGATGTGCGTGTATCTGCTTCCTCTTCAGCATTTCCCCCGTTCCCCGAGGGGCACCCAGCCGTGTTGCCTGGAGAGGACCCACCCCCCTACTCACCCCTGACTAGCCCGGATAGTGGGAGTGCCCCCATGATTACCTGTCGAGTCTGTCAGTCTCCGATCAATGTGGAAGGCAAGATGCATCAGCATGTAGTCAAATGTGGTGTCTGCAACGAAGCCACTGTGAGTTAGTTATACCTATCTGCAAAAAATGGGCCCCGTTTCCTGGATCCTCTTTCTGATTCTAGACCCTATTCAAGACCTCTTCATGACACCCACTTTCAGTTCCTGGATCTTCAGCAGCCATTTCTTCAGAAGCCGCTCACCAAAGATAACGCCCGCCAGCTCTCACTTTTATGCCTCTCCTGGATCCTAAAGCGTAGCTCTCACTGGCAATTGTTGTAGTTGCCTTTGATTTTTGTATTTTGGGGTTCTCTTTTGTTTTGTTTTGTTTTGAGACAGTCTCACAGTGATCCAGGCTCACCCCAGACTGCACTCTTCCTGTCTCTGCCTCCTGAGTGCTGAGATTACAGACTACTATGCTGGCAACATTTGTATCTCTCAAATGTCTTGACTTCTCCTTTCTCAGTGATGTTGTTGGAGAGGGTTGGCATAACAGGCTTGCTTGCTGATATACCCATTGTTCCTTTATTCACTGTCCTCCAGCCCATCAAGAATGCACCCCCCGGAAAGAAGTATGTTCGATGTCCCTGTAATTGTCTCCTTATCTGCAAGGTGACTTCCCAGCGGATTGCCTGCCCTCGGCCTTACTGGTAAGAGACATAAGGTGGGAAGGCCATGCTTGGGCAAAACTGTAAAGAAACCAAACCAAACCAAACCTGAAGCTGGGCAAGGTGGTGCATGCCTATAATCAGTCCCAGCACCTGTGAGGCGGAGGCAGGAGTCTTTGGATAGCACCTTGGATTCCTGGTTGTTCTGCTGGGATTCTGTGTGTCATCAGATCCAGTTAAAATGAAGAACTTTTACAAATATACTTTTCCCCCTGTATAGCAAAAGAATCATCAACCTAGGGCCTGTGCATCCAGGACCTCTGAGTCCAGAACCACAGCCAATGGGTGTCAGGGTCATCTGTGGACATTGCAAGAATACGTTTCTGGTGAGGAGGGATATTGGGAAACCCTGGAGGAGGCAAGTACTAGGAACAGTAATAAATCCTGAAAAGACTATCCTATTTCTCACTTTTTTTGCCTTGGGCTTCTCATTGAGGAGAACCTGCTTCCCATGGTTGTTTTTCTTTTTCCATAGTGGACAGAATTCACAGACCGAACCTTGGCACGATGCCCTCACTGCAGGAAAGTGTAAGTGGTTAGGCATTGCACTGGTAACTGGGTAATGTCTGGCATAAAATCAGCAGGCCTAGTCCAAATACCCATTTCTGTTGGCTCCCCACAGGTCGTCTATTGGGCGCAGATATCCTCGGAAGAGATGTGTCTGCTGTTTCTTGCTTGGCTTACTCTTGGCAGTCACTGCCACTGGCCTTGCTGTGAGTAGTCCTGGTGCAGGACTTATTTGTCTCATCAACAGGCTAAGATCTGAGAAGCTGGTACCTTAAAGAATGCTGAAAGAGTATGTCCTTGACTCCAAGAATAGAGGCAGTTGTAAGGTAGCCCGGGCTACATAGCAAGGCCCCATCTATAATACAAAAACAGGGAGGGGATTGTTGCCAGTTCCAGATGTGGCTTAGCTGGTCAGAGTGTTGGCCTAGCATGCATGAAGCCCTGGATTTAATCTCAGCACCATATGAACTAAGCATGGTGGTACAAGCCTAGGTCCCAGCACTTACGAGGATCGGATTTCAAGGTCATTCTCAACTACAGGATTTGAGGCTGCTCAGGTTGGCTACATAAGACCCTTGCCTTAAAAAAGCAAACTAAATTGAAAGAACGTGGTGACAGGATGGAGGAACACTTTCAGGTACAGATAAACTCAAGTTAAAAGTGACTAATAAACATAGAAGTAAAAGAAGGTATTCCCACTCTAGAGAGAAAAATTAGTTGTTATTAGGAATCCCGGTTCACTTGTTAGACGTGAGAAACACTGGCAGATGTCTGGGATGGCAGGAGTACTTTCCTGCATGAGGGAAGGAAGCTAAACCACCTGACCTTTGGAAAGGTCCCTGAAGGGTTACAAGGGACTAGGGTACAGAGCAGAAGTTGGCTTTGATTACTGTTCCTAACACTGAAGCAGCAGACACTGAAAGTAACCTCTTCTTTTTCTTCTTCCTCGTCTGTCAGTTTGGCACATGGAAGCATGCACAGCAATATGGAGGTATCTACGCAGCCTGGGCATTTGTCATTTTGCTGGCTGTTCTATGTTTGGGCCGAGCCCTTTATTGGGGCTGTATGAAGGTCAGCCATCCTGTCCAGAACTTCTCCTGAGCCCCTTGATCCAGTCTGTGCCTGGCGACTGCCTGGCAGCAACATTAACACTACAAAAGGCTCTCTGGACTTCTGCAAGGAAGCCAAGCAGCTGCCTCCCTTTTCCCTGGGGAGAGGTAGGAAGGAGCCAGTCCCTTACTTAGGTTTGGAAGGGTAGGTAAGATCATTGCTGGCTGTCTGCTTTCCTCCAAGGGTTGCTGTTTAGGGTAACTAGGCGAAACATTGCCCCTAAGCCTGGATCCTAAAGATGGTTCTAGCCATGTCCTTCCTCTGTGCTCCCTGAGAACCATTCCTGACCCTTATACATTCCAGGGCAGGGTGGGGGTGGGAAGTGTGTGTGTGGGGGGGGTGTTGCCCTCCCTCTTGTGCACCATTAGGACCTGCTGCTGCTATTGCACTTCACCAGGGGCTGGCTCTGGCCTCATCCTCAGTCCCGTCTCCCCACATTTCTTGTCCTGTGGGGTGGGGTCAGCCACTGCTCTGTACAGAACTACAGGAACTGATGTAGATAGAACTATTTAATATGGGATATGTTCCCCTAATCCTGTATTCCCCTGAATTCCTCCTTCCGACCTTCCTTACTTCCAGTTGCAGTACTGAACTGGGCTGAGGTAGGGTCACTGTCTCGGGAGAGGTTAGGGATTCATCTGTGCTTGTAAATAAATAATGTCATGACTCTAACCTTTTCCCATTTAACAACTTTTGTGTATGAAAAAATAAAAAAAGGGAATTTGTAGATTCACAAAAGGGAAACAAAGGTAGCAAAGTTGAAAGTAGGGCCTTTTTATTTTTAGTTGGATGGTTGATAGTAAACCAGAAGTTTAGTTTAACAATTAAAACAGGGGGGCACATACAAAAACCAAAACCTGGGCCTAAAGGACACCTAAAGAAGAGGTAAGAAATACATTGGCCTTTACTAGAAAGCTAGTAAGTTTACTGGGGGAGAGGCGGCTACTTCCCAAGCGTAGTTACTTCAGCAGGGGTGTCACAGCGCTAGGTAAAGGGTGATGGGACAGTGGTCACTGCCAAGAGCCTTGGAGCGGATCTTGCTGTCACACAATGCAGGTAGAAGGGAGTGCGACACCAGAAAGTAGTCAAGGCGCCAACCGACATTCTTAGCCCGAGCGTTCATCATGTAAGTCCAGAAAGTGTAAGCATAGGCGGTGTTGGGGTAGAGGTGCCGGAAGCTGTCAGCCAGCGGCACATCCTGGAGCAACTCCCCAAAGCCCTGGCGCTCCTGGGGGGTGAAGCCGGCGTTCTTTTTGTTCCCTTTGGGGTTCCGAAGGTCGATCTCTTCATGGGCCACATTGAGATCCCCACACAGCACAAGAGGCTTTCGGGAAGCCAAGTCCTTCAGAAACTTACGAAAGGCTTCATCCCAGCGCTGTCGGTACTCCAGTCTCACCAGACCTCGGCCTGCATTTGGAACGTAGGCTGTTACCAGGACAAAGGAGTCAAATTCAGCCACAATCACCCGGCCTTCTTGATCGTGCTCTTCCTCGCCTAAAGAAATGAAAATCAGCATGAGATTAAAAAAAAAAAATCTAAGCAGCAGCAGAGTTAGCAACTGGCTGAAGAACATTCAGACATAAAACTCAATAGGGTCTCACCAATGCCATAAGAGACTTTGAGTGGGCACTGGCGGGAAAGCAAGCCCACACCACTGTATCCTTCTTTGTCTGATGGAGCTGACCAGTACTGGTGGGTGAGTCCAGGCAGGTCTTGAAGTTCAGCCGGGAGTTTGTTCTCTGAGCATTTGGTTTCTTGGAGGCACAAGATATCTGGTGCTTCTTCCTTTACCCACTGAATGAAACCGTGAAAAGTTAAATGATCTATATATACTATGCACATAACAAGTCCCTGTACATAAGGAATTCAAGCAGCAGAATATAACCAATCATGTGAGTGACAAAAATGCCTGTGAGCGGCCTGACTTGGGTGCTGGAAACCTAACTGGACTCTCCAAAAGCACAGCAAAGTGCTCCTAACTGCTGAGCCTTCTCACCAGCCCCCTCCCCCACTTACATCTTCACTAGTTATGGGGATCAAGGACAAGCTAGAGACCGGAGTTTTTTTTACCCCGACATTCTAGGGACTAGTTAAAAAGGATATGAAACAAGGTGATTGGAATCGAAGGAACAGACAGTCGTCCTTGTAAACCCCCCCCCCCCCCCCCCCCCAAAAAAAAAAAAAAAAAAAAAAAAAAAAAAAAAAAAAAAAAAACCAGGCAAGAGAAAAGTAACACCCTCTGGACTCAAAGGAAACAAGATGATTCATTCTTAAGACTAGTCTATCAAGGAAAGTCGACTTCCCTCTTGAATTGTACTCACATCTAAACCTTTCTTCTTAATCCAGGCTCGAAGCCCATCCACATTCCAGGAGCATATCTTGAGTGTGGCAGATTTGCCACTGGGTGAGGTTTTCTGATCTGGAGGGTCCTCATACAGAACAGGGCCCTCCCCTGCGGCCTCTTTCTCGTTTTTCTTTGCTGCCCCTTTACTCTTCTTGGTCTCTGGCTCTGTAGAACGAGTCAAACATTAAGAGCTGGCGGTTTGCAACCTCAGGCCAGTGTTGACGACAGGCCCCTGAGACGCACTGGTTACCCTAACTTTTCGGACTCCTGCAATGTGACTTGGTCCATATTTACCGTAGTTCATGGTGGTCTCCTAACAGAGTCCTATAAACTTGTCGGGGGGACGGGGGGGGGGGGTACGGCCCATGCTCATTTCACCTCCTTACCCGACTTGGGTTCTTCCCCGTCTTCTGCCGCCGCTCTCTTCCCACGCTTTGGCATCCCTGTGACGAAAGCCCTCAGGCGCCCGGAGCACCGAAGCAGCAGTGTTTACTGCCTTGCCTGCAGATAAGAAACGGTGAAATCAAACAGGAGGAAGCGAGCCTCCCCCTCGGGCGCTCGCACGCCGAGGGGCCTCGGGTCCCCCAGCCTCCCCGCCACGGGCATCGCAGCCCCTCGCCCCCGTTAGGCCGGCCCTTCAGCGAGCAGGGTCGCCGAACCCGCTAGAACAAGCTACCTGAACTCCCAGCGAAGCCAGGGAGCCCCTCGCAGCACAAAGAATGGAGCCTGCCCGCTCCCACGTGGGAGAGTGGTGTGGTCACGTGACGCCAGACCGCCCTCCCCCCACGTGGATCGGGAGTGCGGTGATTGGTCCGCCTGGCACCTCGTGACGTCACTTCTGGCGCCTGAAGGTCCCTTCGCTTGGTTCTGGGCTGTTCGTGGTGGTGCCGGTTCCGACTAGTCCTGCCACCCGGGAACCCGAGTCGGGGCGCACCATGCCCGCGGTGCTGGGGTTCGAAGGCAGCGCCAACAAGATCGGCGTGGGCGTGGTGCGCGACGGCACGGTGCTGGCGAACCCGCGGCGCACCTACGTCACGGCCCCGGGCACCGGTGAGTGGCGGCGGCCCGGGTCGCGGGCGCCTTGTCTCATTCACAGGGTTTTGTTCAATGGGGGGGTTCTTCCCCGATAGTCTGTCCCGCTGCCTGCTTCGGCTTCCCGGGTGTTGGTATCTGCGCCCCGACACCCTTTTACAAAGACTTGATCGCGTTTGGTTGCTAACTCTTTGACGGCCAGAAGTGTCACAGGCACGTGGACATAAGTGGCTTCGCTCAGGGTTTTGTTTTTTGTTTTTTTAATATTTTGAGACAGGGTCTCACTATGTAACCCCAAACCCCGACTGTCCTTGAACTTGCTGTGTGGGCCAGGCCGGTCTCGAACTCAGTCTGCCTATGCCTCCTGAGTGCTGGGGATAAAGGTGTGAGCCACTACGCCCGGTTGTCTTCAGGTTTTATTGAGCACCTTTTATGTGCTAAGCATTCGAAAATAAGTGTTCCGAGGCTCCTCTGTAGTCGCACATAGAGATTGCTTTATACTACCCATGATACGTGTAATAGTTTAGAATGAGAAAGGACAGCAGGGCGGATATCAGAAGTTACTGTATTTTCAATCTGTTTTAGGTGTCTGTTTTTCATTACTGTTAGAGTGGAAATGAATACCAGTGGGTTTTGAGAACTATGTGAAAGCACCAGACACTGCACAATTCTCAGTTAAGATTGTTTACAAATTGTATCTTGCCTACCCTCCCCTAAAGCATCTGCACACACATATAAGCTGCATGTAGCTGTAAAGGCTCCCCAAACAGGTGTGGTGTTTCAGGTTACACGGTAGAAGAATATGTGTGCTTAGGACTCCCTCTTTTAGGCACTGGGACTGGGTTACTTAGTTAAAGGGGAAGCTACTGACACTTGTAGTGCTGTAGTTATGTATTAAGTCCAACAACATGGCCTTGTGCACGGTAGGGTTCTGTGGGAGCACAGAGAAAGTCACTAAAGAGTAGGAGGTATGTGTACATTGAGTTGACTCTGAAGGTTGTATGTGAACATGGGCGTCTCTGAAACCTAAGTAGCCTGTATAGAGGTTGGAAAGAAAGCTGAGTTGTGGTGCAATATGTAATCACGACACTAGAGAGGCTGAGAGGGTTTGAGTTTAAGGCCATCCTGGGTGTGACCTTGTCTCAAAATTAGGGCCTTGAGTCGAGGATTTCTTAAAACCTAGGCGGGTAAATGGATTTTTTTTCCCCCTACATCTTTAAAACATTATTTTGTTGGGTTTTATTTCTAATAGGTCGGTGCAAAAGTAACTGCAGTTTTTGCATTGTTGAAGTTTGTTGTTTGAGACGGGAATAAATGTGTAGTCGTTCATTATCATTCTCTCCCTCTCCCTCCTTCCCACCTTGCCCGCCTTTGCCTCCCCTGTGCTGGGACTGCAGGCTTGTGCCGTTGTGCTTAGCTAGGAAAATTCCGCAGGGTCTCATTTTAATGTGCATTTACCACATCTTGTTTTGGTTTGGGGTGAGTTTTTTGTTTTTTTTGGTTTTTTTGATAATAACATTACTTGCTGTTTATTTATATTTATCTTATACTATGGCAATGATGTTAGACAAAAAGTAAAACTAAAGCTCAAACCTGTAATCCCAGTACTCCAGGAGACAGAAGCAAGCAGAGATCTGAGTTTGGGGCCAGCCTGGTCTATAGAGCAAGTCCCAGGCCATCCAGGGCTACATTGTAAGACCCTGTCTCAAAATAAATAGATAATAGAAATAGAATTAAACAATTACTTTGAGTTCCGAGTGGGTAGGGGGCAGTGGAGACAGCTTGAAACACAAACAATCCGTAACATCTTGGCCCCTGGAACTGCTAACGACAGGACCTGGGTTGTTTGAGAGGCCTGAAATGGCTGGCTATTGGAAGTTGACTGTGACCTTGTTATTGTGAGCAGCTGTGGAAGCCAGTCTTACAGCTGCAGAAAAGCTTGCCAGAGAACTCGGGGTGGACCAGTCAGTGATGGTTGGATATTTGAAGTGAGTTGAAAAGTTTTTTAAAAAGCTCAGTAAGTTGCTGCCTCAAAAACAGACAGTGCTGAAATAGCCATTATCTTCAGCTCTCAGCCGTGAACCATTTCTCAGTCAGATTATGACCATGACAAAAGGTGGATTGTATAGGAAAACTGGCCACAACCAGCTTAATGGCGCCAAAGCACTTCCCAAAGCCAAACTTGCACCAAAAAAGGTCGCAGACACTGGTGGTCTGCTGGGGCTCTGGTCCACTATAGCTTTTTAAATCCCCGTGAAACCATTGCATCTGAGAGGTGTTCTCAGCAAGTCATTGGGATGTGCGAAAACTGCAGTCTGCGTCGGCAAACAGAACAGTGTCTGACTGCGTGTGGCGGAACCAGTGCTTCAGAAGCTGAATCAAGTCAACTGTGGAAGCTTTACCTCATCCACGACACTTGCCTGACGTCCCATCAACTGACTACCATCTCTTCAGCATCTTGACAACTTTTTGAAAACATTTCCACACCGAGGAGGGTGCAGAAAGTGCTTTCTGAGATTTGTTGAAACCTAGGTTTGCTTTAGGAATAAACAAACTCAGTTTTTTTTGTCTTGGTTTTTTTTTTTTTTTTTTTTTTTTTAATTTTGTTGTTGACTGTTCATTTGTTTTTGAGGCAAGGTCTTTGTACAAAGCTCTGACTGTCCTGGAACTCCCTTTGTAGACCAGGCTGGCCTCAGACTCAGAGATCCACCTGTCTCTGCCTCCTGAGTGCTGGGTTAAAGGCATGCACCACCTCGCCCAACTAACAAACTGGTTTCTTGGCAAAATGTGTTGGTTAAAATGGTTCCCATTTTGATTAATAAAAATGTGTTTGAACCTAGTTATAATGATTTACAATTTAAGCCCCATATCACAGTTCCCATTGCACCAAGCTAATACCTACCTTCTTTCGCGGTTCTTGATCTGTATACCTTTCCTTAGGATTCCTCCCAGGTGATACGGCCAGGCACCATCGAGCTGTTATCCTTGACCTACTGCAAGAGGCACTAACAGAGGCTGGACTAACCTCCCAGGACATTGATTGCATTGCTTACACCAAAGGTCAGTCTGGGAGAGTGGTCAGCAAGGGAGGAATATGGGTGGAGCCACAGTCACTACCGGTACACATTCTCAAATCTACTTTCTTCACCTGCTTCTCCTAATTTCTAGGATTCTAATTCCCATTTGTACCCTGTTAGGTCCTGGTATGGGAGCCCCACTGGCTTCTGTAGCTGTCGTTGCCCGTACTGTGGCCCAGTTGTGGAATAAGCCTTTGCTAGGTGTGAACCACTGCATAGGCCATATTGAAATGGGCCGTCTCATCACTGGAGCCGTTAGCCCAACTGTTTTGTATGTCAGCGGAGGAAATACTCAGGTACTTAAGAGTAATCTTCGTGTTTCATCCTAATTCTGAGGTGTTCTACCTGAGTTGTAGGAGCTGCTGAGACAAAACCAGGCTCTTTTGGACCTAAGATAATATAGGGAACAGAACAGAGGTGTAAAATTGCAAGTTTTAGAAGGGAATTAAAATGTTAGAACTTTATACATGCAACTAGAATTTCCAGTTTAAAAAGGAAGGAATGTAGATTTAACCCTTCAAGATACACACACACACACACACACACACACACACACACACACACACATTTATTTATTTATTACGTATGTGGGTGTTTTGCCTGCATATATGTAGGAGCCCAAGGAAGACAGAAGAGAGCATTAAATCTGAGGAACTGGAGTCATAGACAGTTGTGAGCTACCATGTGAGTGCTGAGAATTGAACCCAGGTCCTTTAGAAGAGCAGCAGGTGCTTTTAACTGTTGGGCCATCTCTCCAGCCCCACAAATATGTTTTTTGTTTTTTTTTTCATTTGTCCACCCTGTTCCCCTCCTTTTCTGAAAATCAGAATGTCTAGATAACCCAGCCCCAGACTCACGGTTCTCCTTTCTCAGCCTAAGCAGCTGGGATCACAAGGCTGCCATTTTTGTTGTTTTATGCTGTCTGTGACAGGGTCTCACTGTGGTAGACAGGTTTTCCCTGTATTGTTTTGATCTTCCCAACTCCTCCCAAGGGCTGTGATTACAGGTGTGTGCCACCACATCTGGCACACTCTTTTTCTATTTTCTCATGGAATGTCGGTGTGGATCTCCACAACAAACTCTGTTTTGGCTTTGGGTTTGGTTTGTATTCTTATTTTTTAGGGTTTGTTTTTGGTGTGTCTGTTTGTCTGTCTGTGTCTGTGTGTGGTTTCTTTTTTTTAGGCTACATAATGCAGGATGTTTGATGAGTTTGTGTAATCTTTGCACAGGGGCTCTGCTAATCTCTGCATCATTACAATTTTAGTCTGTGCTGCAAAGTAAACACTGTTGCTTCTTTGAATTTTTTTTTAATTTGGCAACTCTATACATGTGTGTAATATCTTGATCATATTTGGGTTTATTTATTTTGTGTGTGTATGAGATGTGTGAGATGTGGACGTGTGTGTGTGTGTGTGTGTGTGTGTGTGTGTGTGTGTGTGTGTGTATGTGTGCATATTGGAGACAGCCTTCAGGAGTCCACCTTTTTTATGTAGGTTCCAGGGATCAAGCTCAGGTCTCGAGGCTCACATGACAAGTGTTTTTGCCTTCTGGGCCATTTTACCAGCTCCTGGTTTGGTTTTCTTGAGATGGGGTCTTGCTGTCTGTCTAGGCTGGCCCTAAATTCCACGGTGTAGCCAGCCATGGCTGCCTGTGTCCGCCTCACCAGCACGAGAATTACAGGGCTAAGCCATTCGTAGACAACTTCCTTCCCTTCTTACTGGAATGTCTAGTGTTGACACTGCATTGCTTTCTTCCACATAGCTAAACGCTCCTCTCTATAGACTTGAAATTTCCTGGGCATTCTCATCCTTCTTAGGTGATTTCCTACTCAGAACACCGTTACCGCATCTTTGGGGAAACGATTGACATTGCTGTGGGAAACTGTCTGGACCGTTTTGCTCGAGTGCTGAAGGTAGGCCATTGAGACTGTGGAGTGCGTAAGATGTGGATCTGCGGAGCAAAAGAAATAAACTGCAGGAAATAGTAAATAGATCTTGGGCTTTTGAATATCTAATTTCATTCTCTGCAACTTTCTTTAGCATGGGTAGGCATAATTTAACATAGGTAGCATAATTAAGCATTTATGTCCATATGTTATCTATTACTTGGTACAAACATGTTTGTTCCTCTCTATGTATACAGTTTATAAAAATATATACTGATTGCTTTTCTTCACCTTGATTTGGGGAGGACCCAGAGTGATGGGTATATTCATGTGTGTAGAAGAATGCATTTTTTACATGATGCATTCACGCTTCTCTGCCTCTCTCTCTCTCCTCCTGCTGGTAGATTTCCAATGACCCAAGTCCGGGCTACAACATTGAGCAGATGGCAAAGCGGTAAGAGGACATAACGTGGGAGAGCACTGGCCACTTGTGCTTTAGAGATTTCTTTTCATATGTAGTGATGGGGTGCGGGAGGGGGTTTGGAGGGTGAGCAGCCAGCTGACTCTACGTTTAGTGCCTTTATTCATTTCTACATAGAGGCAAGAAGCTAGTTGAGCTGCCATACACTGTGAAGGGGATGGATGTCTCATTCTCAGGGATTCTGTCCTTCATCGAGGTGAGTGTGAGAGGGTAAGGAGACAGGAGCACATCCCTGCTTTTAAAGTGATGTCTCTACTTTGCTCACTGCTTATTTCCTGCATAAGCATTCACTCATGGTAGGTGCCGGGTAGATTCATTTAGCAGGTACTGTATCCTTCTGTGAGCCAGGCACTATTAATAATAGGGATGCAGTGTAGGGCAAAACAGTCCCTCCCTATGTGGGAAAAAGACTTGAAAACAGCCGGGTGGTGGTGGTGCATGCACACCTTTCCCAGCACTCGTGAGGCAGAGGCAGGCGGATCTCTGTGAGTTCGAGGCCAGCGTGGCCTACAGAGTGAGTTCCAAGACAGGCTCCAAAGCTACACAGAGGAACCCTGTCTTGAAAACAAAACAAAACAAAAAACCAAAAAGACTTGAAAACAAATAAATAAAAAGGAAAGGAGAAGACGATGTGGGGTACAGCACTCCTGTGATCTCAGTTGTGATAAAGTCAGCAATCCTTCCAAGTACAGGAATTTGTTTTCATGGGAGCCTCACACCGGTACTCATCTTTTGGGTTGTTTCCCCTTTAATTGCAGGATGCAGCACAGAGAATGTTGGCCACGGGGGAATGTACCCCCGAGGACCTGTGTTTCTCCTTACAGGTAAAAGAGGGAAAAGCTGGGATGCAAAGCCTGTTCTGGAGTAGAGCTGAACTAAGGTGGGATGCTGCTCTGATGTCTCCCCTTGTCTGTCTCCCACAGGAGACTGTGTTTGCAATGCTAGTGGAGATCACAGAGCGAGCCATGGCACACTGCGGCTCCAAGGAAGCGCTCATCGTAGGAGGAGTTGGATGTGTGTATCACCAGGCAGTGTGCCTTCCTCCTAGTCCTGATAGTCATCCTCCTCCTGATGCTCTCAGTTACCAGAGATTGGAGGAGTGTCTGCTTCACCTCCTTCCCAGTCCTCTTCCCCAGTCTCCTACAGGAAACTGCCCTGGGAGCACAGTTGGTTTGCTAGTGAGATGGCCAACTCTAAGTTCACTGTGGTTCCCGTCCCTTCACAGGTAACACGAGGCTGCAGGAGATGATGGCGGCCATGTGCCAGGAGCGGGGGGCCCAGCTCTTTGCAACGGATGAGAGGTGAGGTCCTTTTCTTCGTCTTGAGTTCTTCTCTTCCCATTATTGTGGTTTTTCTGTGTTTAGGCCACAAGATGCCTTCTCTCTTCCTCCCCAGATTCTGCATTGACAATGGAGCCATGATAGCCCAAGCAGGTTGGGAGATGTTTCAGGCTGGACACAGGACCCCTCTCAGAGAGTCTGGAATTACGCAGAGGTGAGTGTCATCCCCCTCTGAGAGAGGAGAGAGTAGGTACGGGAGAGAGGCAGAAATCGGCAGGTAAGCAAGTCAAAGAGCATGAGGGTGGAGAAGAACAGATAATGCTGTGGGTGATGGGTGTGGTGGCGTGCACCGCTAATCCCAGCATGTGGGAGGCCAAGGCAGCAGGATTTTGATTTTGAGATAAGCCTGGGCTACAGATGCTGTCTCAAAAAACAGAGTGCTAAGGGGTGGTCACAGGGTTTCCTGTTTTCCGCAGGTACAGGACAGACGAAGTAGAGGTGACGTGGAGGGACTGACAGCGTCAACAGGAACACAACAGCTTTCCAAGTGCTGGCATGGGAGGGAGTCTGGGGGGTGCTGCGGACTCCCCTCTTCTTGGGAGAGTGTAGGGACCCCATACAAGGCGTGGGGTCCCTATGGGACCCCAGGATAACTCCACAATAAAAAAATTATTTTTGTACATTGATAATTGGATTGTTTTTCAGGACCAGTACAGGACTGGCGCTGAGGAAATTCTTACTGGTGAGGTCAGTGAACAAGCCGGTGAGCGCCGGAGTGGCACTCGGTTGATGGTGCAGAGTTCTGATGGCGGCTGCTTGGAGGAAGCCGTGGAGGAAGCCGTGGGTGCTCTCCTACCTTCCCACTCACAACGGTGTCCTAACTAAGAGTATTCTAGTGCCACTCCCTGCGATGACTGCTCTACACCTAATGAATTGTGTTCACATTCACTGAAGTAGATATTCAGGATGCCCCTTAAAAAGGCCTGGAAATAGGTCTAATTCATAACTAAAACTCCTGTCCTTCATAAACTTTATTGATGTACTCCTACAAACACTTCACTGGCCAGTTTGGGGGGCACCCCAGATATACAATGCTTCTGCACCAATACAAGCATCAGAACTACAGACACCATGCCCTTTATCTTGTATATAGTGCTACACGGGGTCCTGAACTACCAAGCTCCTCTTTTATCCACTAGCAGCCATGTGTCTTTCTGTTGCACGAATCCTAAGTGGTCTTATAATAAAAACCTGGAGCCAGATATCAGGGTCAATTCTGAAAGTTCAGAGGAAACAAGCCATGGCCACTTCTCACCCCACCAACTCCTCAGCCAAAAGGGGAAGATCCTGTTGTTGCCACAAATCCTCAGACTGAATGTCCCCGGGTCTTCAGCTGAAAGGGCACCGAACTCCTGTCTCCTGCTTTATATTTCTTTCTCTGCCCAGCCATATCACTTGCTGTATCATCCTTTCTAGTGCTGGGACCACTGTGTGGCATGAATCTTAGAAGGTCTTATTAATAAAATCAAACCTGAGGCCAGGTATTGGGGTGAATGCTGGAAGATCAGAGAAACAGAACAAGACACAGCTTCCTCACCTCACCAATTCTTCAGTTGATCCTGTTTCCTTAGACTGGATGCCTCTCAGCTGAACTGTGCTCAAAAGCCTAAAAGCTTAACCAGCCGAATGCTTCTAGTTCCTGGTTTTCACACCTTATATACCTTTCTGCTTTCTGCCATCACTCCCTGGGATTAAAGGTGTGAGTCACCATGCCTGGTTGTCTCCAGTGTGGCCTTAAACTCGCAGAGATCTAGATGGATCTCTGCCTCCCAAGTGATAGGATTAAAGGTGTGAGTGCCACCATTTTCTAGCCTCTATATCTAGTGGCTGTTTTGTTCTCTGACCCCAGATAAGTTTATTAGGGTGCACAATATTTTGCGGAATACAATACCACCACACTACTCCCTGGCTTTGTTTCCTTTTTAGAGTGGACTCATATCATGTAATCCAGGGTGGCTTGTAGTAGGAAGGTTTTTCCAGTCCCACCCGGCTCTGTGGTCCCTTGGCACTTATAAAATAATCATTTATGCCAGGCAGTGGTGGCACACACCTTTAACTCCAGTATTTGGGAAGCACACACGCCATTAGTCCCAGCACTAGGAAGGTTGAGATAGGAAGTGAAATGGCTGGGCGGAGAGAAACATAAGGCGTGAGGAGACAGGAACTAGAGAACCTTTCAGCTGAGGACTCATAGAGACAGGATCTTTTCGGCTGAGGAGTTGACAAGGTGAGAAGTGGCTGTGGCTTGTTTCCTCTGATCTTTCAGCTTTAACTCTGGCTCCAGGTTTTCATTTTAAGACCATTTGGGATTTGTGCAACATATACCTCAGTCTCATCCCATTCTTTTTCCATAATCTGGTTATTCTGTTTTTTATGCTGAATTCATCCCTTTGCTAGGACCTGCAGCCCCTTGATCTTTCTATATTATAGTTGTCCTTCCTTGGTTAAATTCCAATAATAAACACCTTGTTGCTGATGCTTCATCTCCCTTTGCCATTAAAAAAACAAAACAAAACAGGATCTCATCAAGCTCAGGCTGGCCTTGAACAAGCTAGCAGAGGATGACCTGATCTGCCTCTACCTCCCAAGCATGGGCTTACAGGTGTACCCCACCACACCCAATTTACACAGTGTTAGGAACTGAACCCAGAGGTCTGCCAGCTGAGCTGAATCCCTAACCTCCCATTCTATTTATGTCGTACACATCACCTACTTTATACCTGTATCTGTGCAACCAAAAGGACAAGCAAAGTAGCCATGCTGACTACTTTAACCAGTTGATCACAATGAAAGCAAAGGGAGTCCTTCCTGCCACTCAGCAACATTACCTTCCTAACCCTCTCCTCTCCTCACTGTCTTTAACAACTTATCTTTTGATCCTCAAATCCCCAATATCTCTCTCCCTGTACTCATTTATTACCTTAGTTACTTTTCAACTATTTTTTATTGTTGTATATATTTTAACAATTTTAAGTACTTTAGTAAGTTAAATAAGTTACTCTATTGCTGTGAAGAGACAGTATATCATAACCAAAAGAAAGCATTTAATTGGTGTTCTCTGTTTCTAAGGGTAATAAAGTCCATGACCATCACGGCAGGGAGCACTAACTAATCTACAAGTTAGAGGCAGAGAGAGAGAGAGAAAGTGAAAATAGTGTGGGCGTCTGTAACCTCAGAGCCCACCCCCAGTCACACACCTCCCAATCCTTTCCAAACAGTTCCACCAAGTGGGGACCAACATTCAAATATATGAGCCTGTGGGGGCCATCCTCATTCAAACCACCCCTTGGTTCTTTAAAGTAGAAGCAAAGAGAACACATTTACCAAGTTCCCAGCATCATACTGAATACTTTCTAGCATTTTCACTCACATACTCTGATTTCTGTCCTGTTACCACAAACCAGAGGTTCTCAACCAGGTCTGATTTTGTCCTAGGAAGACAAAATGATGATGTTGCTAAAGAGAAGCCAAGGAGGGGCCAAAGAGATGGCTCAGTGGTTAAGAGCCCTGGCAGAGGACTTGTTCGATTTCCGGCACCAGGTGGCAGCTCACAATTGTCTGTAACTTCAGTTGCAGGGGATCTGATGCTTTCTGGCCTCAGGCACCAGGGATACATGTGCATAGACATGAGGCGAAACACCCAGGACACATGAAATAAGTAAATCCTAAAAAGAGAAGCCAAGGATGCTAGAAAATACCCTACAGTGTATATATAGCAAAGCCCTATAAATGAAGCTCTATGCAAAAATGTCATTGGTATCAAGGTTGAAAAACTGCTCCAAACAGCCCATATTCCTGCTCCTGGATGTGAAGTAGGTCTTGCTGTCTGGCAGGAAAATGTGGTTTGGTTTTAGTTTTGGTTTTTTAAGAACTCTATTGCTGTGGGATATCTTTCTGTACGCTGTGATTATGTGTTGCTCTGATTGGTTGATAAATAAAGCTGCATTGGCCTCTGTCAGGGCAGAATAAGGTTAGGCGGTACATTCAAACTAAAGACAAGATGAAGGAGGGTGAGTTGGGGGAGACACCAGCCCGCCGCCAAAGGAGCAACAAGATGCCAGCAGACCGGTAACCCCACGGCCACGTGACAACATATAGATTAATAGAAATGGGTTAACTTAAGATGAAAGAGCTAGCAAGAAGCTGAAGCCATAAGCCATACAGTTTGTAACTAATACAAGCCTCTGAGCGATTATTTTCTAAATGGCTGTGGGACTGTGGGTGAGAGAGATTCGTCTGGACTGCTGGGCAAGGCGGGACCAGAGAAACTTCCCACTGCACTCTATGGGGTACCCATATACAGTTGCTTGACTTTGGCAGTTCTGAGCTATGTCCTAATTGCTAAACAGCCATCCAGCAGGTGCCACTGAGTGTGAGTGAATTGACAGGACAAGTGTACTTCACAGCGCAATTTAGAAAAGTGGTCTCCAGTTTCTTTCTGAATCCTCTATTAAAGTCTGTTCTGTGGCTGAGGATGGTGCCTGGGATGTAAAATGCTTGCTTAGGACAAAGCCCTCCCTCCAGTGGTGATGCACACCTGGAACCCCAGCACTCTGCAGGTAGAGGCAGGAAGATGAGTATTCAAAGGTCATCTAGGCATATAATGAGTTCAAGGCTAGCCTGGGCTACATGAGACTCTATTTAAAAAAGAAAAAGAAAAAGAAAAAAACACACTCAGGAGACAGAGGCAGGTAGATCTGTGAGTTCAAGGCCAGTCAGGTCTACAGAACGAGTTTCAGGATAGCCAGGACTACACAGAGAAACCTTGTCTCCAAAAACAAAACAAAAAAATAAAAATAAAATTATCCCAACAGGTTTGTTCTCCCCAGGGTCATTAATGACTTGGTTACAGATTAAGGGTAGATTCTGGTTCATGTCTAAGTCTGTCTGAAGCATGTGACACTTGCTCTTTGAAATGGTTTTAGACTGTGTGGTCTGCTCTCTAGCTGATGGTTCTTTGTCTCCTTTGCCGCTTCTCATTTCAGCCTCTTAGCTCGGAACGAGCTGTCTTCTCCCTTCAGTCTCACGAGTGCTGGTGTGTGCCACCATGCCTGTCTGCGGTCCCGACTTCCTAGAATTTAGTCCTCAGACTGTTGACACAGGTGTGTGGGGTGGTTTTGTCCAGTTTTACTCCATGAAATTCATTTGGATATAGGTAACTCCCTTGTAGTTCTAGCTTAGACTCTCCTCCCAAACACCAAGCTGCCCTTTTGCATCTCTGCTTGGGTGCTCACTAGACAGTTGGTCTTAGTTAGGGTCTCTAGTGCTGTGATGAAACACCATGACCAAAATCAGCTTGAGGAGGAAAGGGTCTATTTGATCTTACCGTTTGTGGTCCATCATCTAAGGGAGTCAGAGCAGGAACCTGCAGGCACCGGAACAGAGGCCATGGAGGAGTTCTGCTTGCTGGCTTGCTCCTTCTGGCTTGCTCAGCCTGTTTTCTTAGAGCACCCAGGACCATCAGCCCGATGGTGGCACGCCCCACAGTCCCACATCAGTCATCAATGAAGATAATGCACCATCGGCTTGCCCGTAGGCCAATCTTATGGGGGCATTTTTTCAATTGAGGTCAATTGACTTCCCACAGTCAAGCTTGTGTCAAGTTGACATAAAACTGGCCAGCACA